CCTGGAAAAAAAGGCTCATTGTATCAGCACTTGAGCAGTTTACTGCTCTTTTGGGTCCGTTTCTTAGCCCGGACCTGACCCGGCCGTGATGAATGGGTCTGCAGTCCTGAGGCTCTCCTGATGCAGTCGCAGAGGTCTTAGACCCTCGGTAAGTGATATGACTCGCTCTCTCTGGACTGTTTTTGAACTCGAACATGATTTACGTCGCGTTTTTTGAGGTCTACATCAAGTGACCTTCGCATTTTATACAGCTTTTCCCAAAGCTTCGTTCTCAGTTTGCTCTGATTGCTCTCATAAAGGCCTTTAAAATGACTTCTCAACGCAAGCGTCATACGCTACTTGTGAAAAGCGTGGAAGATACAGTCATGGAAAAGTGGATTTACAAGATTTAAACTGTGAAAATACATACAATAAATAGTATGGTTTTTTTGAATGTTTTTCAAAGAAGTCTCTTCTGCTCAGCGAGGCTGCAATTATTTGATTAAAAATGTAGTAAAAACAGTAAAATTGTGAAATATTATTGCAATTAAAAATTACTGTTTTTTGTTTGAATGCATTTCAAAATATAATTTAACCCCTCCAAAAAAACCCTAATCTTATTATTATCAATGTTGAAAACTATGCAAGCCTGTTTCCGTGAAACAAAATAATAAAACTTCGCAAAAAAATTTCGCTCAATAAAAATAGTTGTGACTTTTTAATTCCACACTATAAATAAGATATTTTTATGAGTTTATATGTTGTAATAAAAAAGGTAATTGTGACTTTTTACTTTGCAATTTTTGCTTTTCTGACTTTTTTCTCGCAATTGAGTTTATATTTCACATTTGTGCGTTTATATCTTCTGATATGCCACAATTCTGACTTTTTTATCAGAATTATGAGAAACAAATTAAATTAATTTTCTTTTTTTTTTAGACCATGGCAGGATAAAACTGTTGTTCTGCTTCATATTTTTGTGAAAATTGTGATCATTTAAAAAAAAACAATCTTTGATGAATAGGAAGTTTGAGTCAAATAGAACATCATTTATTTGAAATAGAATATATATTTTTTTTTTTTTATCACAAACTTACTGAAACATTTGCCTGATTTGGTCACATGCCAGATCTTCATTTCAATAATTGAGGCTATTTATGCATAAAAATAGTACCTTATCATTTTAAATAATTTGTGCATAACTTAAGTAATATTAATGAGAAAAGCCTTAGGCTGATGATACACGGGGCAACTTTTTGAGCAGTGTTGCTTGGGCACTTTTCCATTGAGAATGGGTAGCAAATTTCTATCTGGATACTTTAGATCAGTCGTGGGCCCTGTGTCTCAACTGGTTGCCCGTTGACAGCAACATTGCTCAAAAAGTTTTCCCCCCGTGTATCATCAGCCTTACTGTATGTGCAAAGTTGGACATTGTCATGCAGACAAACAAAAAACGCATGCCATTGGAAATTATCCCATAATTGACTGTGCTTTGAAAGGTCAGTAGCAAGCAATGATTCAAACTCTGACGGGTTAATGCTTCGCAACATTAACGTGAGTCATGTGAAAAGACCTTAAGTATCTGGATTCATGGAGTCAATGGTTTACCAATGACAGAAGTTTCCTCATCTGTTTGTTTTACAGGGAATCGTGCAAATATGCATCACGTCGAGCCCGAGTCGTTTATTCTTAATGCGCAAAGTTTGTCAAGACGTCTCAGCAGGGTGATGGCGTTCAAACGCTTGCTGAAACATCATCATTCACGGCTGTGGAGAAGAGATTTAGACCCAGAGAATGAATTAAAAGAAATTTGAAAGTTCCTCACACACATCGGTTCCCAAGACCGCGAGAGTGAAAAAATGGTCCGATTCAGTTTTCTGGCAGTAGAAATGGAAAACAAAAAGTTCTAATTAATCAAAGTGATGCGGGCAGATGTGAAAGGTTGTGAATTACTAATTGAAACCAAAACGTTCAGTCCTGTCGCCCCTCTGTCCACATTTGTCAGCGGTTTTCATCTGTGGAGGGGAAAGGTTTCCTGTAAAGCCTCTGCTAAAATACTGCCCTCAGGGTCTGTGTGTGTGTGTGTGTCTAAGTTTGTATTTCTGCTCTCAGTGTTGTTATTTGACGCCTAAACTGCTACATTTTATTAGAAGCATTTTGACTGACCAAACCTGTGAAGAGATGGGCTGTTTGAAAAAGTTATTCCTAAAAGCTGACTGAATAAACATTTCACAGATATGCACATTTAAAATGTACACTAATTGGCTATGTTGGGAATAGCATGCTACTTTACTGTTTTGACTTTTTCTGTAGTATGTCAATGTGTAATTTTCTGTATGCATGGAATACATTGGTGAAATGTGCAGTGTTGTGTCCCACAACGCAATGCCATCAATTTGACTTTTCATTTCCATGTGACGAAATGAAATTATTTATATATATATATATATATATATATATACAGTATATATATAATTTAGTTTTTGAGCTTTAATTTAATTTCATTTTTGAACTTTAGTTTAATTTCATTTAATTTAAGCTTTAATTCTTGAGCTTTAATATAATTTTATATAATTCAATTTTATTTTATTTTATTTTATTTAAGCTTTATTGCAATTAATTCAAATTACTTTTTATAGGTTTAGTTTTAGTTAACAATAACACCAAATTGGATGCCAATAACATCATTATACATGCTCAAGATGATGAGGTCATGTGACTATCTCATACTAACGTTTGAAATATCATTTTGTTTCACATACTTTACAAAATAGTAGTATGCAACAAGCTGTAGCAAAGTTACATTTAGAATGTTCCTAGTATTTTTCAATTTAAAGGAACACTCCAAAATTTTTGAAAATACGTCAATTTTCCAACTCCCCTAGAGTTAAACAGTTGAGTTTTACCGTTTTCGAATCCATTCAGCCGATCTCCGGGTCTGGCGGTAGCACTTTTAGCTGTAGCTTAGCATAGATCATTGAATCTGATTAGACCGTTAGCATCTCGCTCAAAAATGACCAAAGAGTTTCTATATTTTTCCTATTTAAAACTTGACTCTTCTGTAGTTACATCGTGTACTAAGACCGACGGCAAGTTTTAAATAGGAAAAATATAGAAACTCTTTGGTCATTTTTGAGCGAGATGCT